AGCATAGTCATAGTCATGCGCAGATAGGGTTGAAACATGCACAGGTTGCACGCATGACTATGACTATGCTACCATCACCTATGGTTAAGGAACCCCGACGGAATCCGAAACATCAGGAAAATAAAACTCTTGTTCCACTGGTCGCATCCTCTTCTTCTGAACTGCTTCCTGCAACTCGCATATTCTCCAAGATTAGCGATCGCATCTTCTTCTTCTCCTCAATTACTTTCCTGGAACTCTCATGTTCACTTGTATTGGGAATAAGTTGCTTATAAAAATCCTCCTGAAAGCAGATATGTTGGTCAGGAGTGTCCCATATGATCAAATTTCTTCTGCATCACTGCTTCCAAAGTGTCCTATCAGTTTTCTACGATTTTTTGCTCATGTTAATAATTCTTTAACAGGCGAACTCGCAATACTTTTGCACTCTTATCCAGACCGCCGAATCGTCCTCCTCAGAACCTGCGACATCAACGAAGCCTACTGTCTGAACTCGGATTTTTGACGTCTTTAACGGGTGCAGGCAGGCTACTTGATGGAACTCTGTCAACAGGCAACGTTGGAAACATCTTGTGAAATCAAAAAAAGATGTATATGGAAGTGAACATGATATCAAACGACAAGAAAATTAAAGCAAAGCCAATATTTCGTTCTTGAGTGACTCATATCAGACAAAAGCGCATATTATGAGGGGTTCCTTGTGTAGATCTTTTCGGTATCACAAGCGCAGAACAACACCATCAATCTGGAAAAGTCATTTAACCTCCTCCTACCCCCCCACCCCAATTAAGAAATATGTTGCCCAATTGCCGTGAGGAATTCCGGAAGAAGGAGAGGGAGGGAAGGTGTACGTAGGCTGGTGGTGTGAAAAGATAAGAAGTCGGTTGTCCTCTGAGCTTGTCGATGCCACTGGGAGGCGATCAGGTGAAATTTTAGGCTGTCGGCGGTGGCCACGGTGGCAGCAGCGCTAGCATCATCAGCGGCCATATTGCAGAGCTTTTCCCGGAGGCCTTGAACTGGAGATCCACCTGAATCAGACTGCACTGCCGGCAGTCTCAAAGGCGACGCCACCATGAGAGGCAGGAAGTTCAGGGCTGGCATTGGTGGTCGACAGTCCTCGCGTGATTCAGTGACTCCGCGCCGTCGATAGCGCCAGCCCGGACTGGAAGGGCGTTGCTTGTGGGATGACCTAGCGGGACGTGACGCCCTCCTGACATCGAAGGGCTGTAAGCACGGTGGATTCTCGTCGGTGGGGCTATCAAAGTGACCGGCTCTTTTGATTTTGTAACGGTGATTCTGAAACCAGATTTTGACCTGGAAGAGAAAGAGAATCCTAGTTATAAAAACTTATTTATAGTAGTGCAGTATTCTACAGGGTGCCCCACGAAAAACCCCTAAATTTATGATAATGTTTAT